GAAATTTAATATATTTTTTTTTTTTCCCCAAATCTGGGGGGTTTGGGCTCGTTCTGGGGCCGTACCTTGTATATTCGGACCAGCCAGTGCTCTGTGGTGTACGCCTCCTCCAGCACGTCCAGCTCAAAGTCCTTGTTGCCGATTTCGGCGTTCCTCACCCGGTCGTAGCCCGGCGGTCGTCGCTCTAGGGAGGGGCGAAATGCAGGCCCCCCTGCCACATCGCACCCCGAAGAAGTTGGGGGCACGGTGGGGCGCCCTAAAAGTGGCGTCACCCCCCCCCATCCCCCCCGGGCAGTTTTGGGGACTTACTGGCCTCGGTGTAGACCTGGCCGAAGCGGTAGTAGCACATCTTGTACATGAGGCAGTTGAGGAGCACCGGGGAGCCCTCGCGGTCGACCCGAAACTCCCCCGTGGGGGTGTAGTAGTCGTGCTCCTTGATGTGGCGCCCCGTGTCCGTGCTGCCCCCGATCCGCACCATCCACAGGAACTTGTTGATGTCTGAAAGGTGGAGAGCAAAGAGTTGGGGGCAAAGAGCGAGGAGTTGAGTTGAGTTGGGGGCAAAAAGTTGAGTTGGGGGCAAAGAGCGAGGAGTTGAGTTGAGTTGGGGGCAAAGAGCGAGGAGTTGAGTTGAGTTGGGGGCAAAGAGCGAGGAGTTGAGTTGAGTTGGGGGCAAAAAGTTGAGTTGGGGGCAAAGAGCGAGGAGTTGAGTTGAGTTGGGGGCAAAAAGTTGAGTTGGGGGCAAAGAGCGAGGAGTTGAGTTGAGTTGGGGGCAAAAAGTTGAGTTGGGGGCAAAGAGCGAGGAGTTGAGTTGAGTTGGGGGCAAAAAGTTGAGTTGGGGGCAAAGAGCGAGGAGTTGAGTTGAGTTGGGGGCAAAAAGTTGAGTTGGGGGCAAAGAGCGAGGAGTTGAGTTGAGTTGGGGGCAAAGAGCGAGGAGTTGAGTTGAGTTGGGGGCAAAGAGCGAGGAGTTGAGTTGAGTTGGGGGCAAAAAGTTGAGTTGGGGGCAAAGAGCGAGGAGTTGAGTTGAGTTGGGGGCAAAAAGTTGAGTTGGGGGCAAAGAGCGAGGAGTTGAGTTGAGTTGGGGGCAAAAAGTTGAGTTGGGGGCAAAGAGCGAGGAGTTGAGTTGAGTTGGGGGCAAAAAGTTGAGTTGGGGGCAAAGAGCGAGGAGTTGAGTTGAGTTGGGGGCAAAGAGCGAGGAGTTGAGTTGAGTTGGGGGCAAAAAGTTGAGTTGGGGGCAAAGAGCGAGGAGTTGAGTTGGGGGTGAGCAAAACCGGTACGTGCAGCTTTCAGAGAGGAGCATTTTGGTACCGTTTCCACTTTGCAGCCTCAGCTGAAGGTGGGACTTCGCTCCTCCAAGAGCTGTTTTGGAGAAGCCTGCGCCACCAGTGCTCCGTGGATGAGTTTGACCCGGCTCAGAGCAAGATCTTACCGTCAGATGAATAGCCAGTGAGGCCTCCGAAGATTACCAGCACGTAGCTGACGTCCAGCTCCCTCATGATCTCGTAGGCTTTCTCCTCCGTCGATGCCATCGCCTGGAGCGGACGCAGTGTCAGTCACGCCGCGTGGTGCCCCCCGGAAAGTCAGGGCGAGGCGGCGGGTGAGGGAAGGACCTACCTGACCGACGCGGGAGATGTGCGTGTTGTTCCAGGTGTTGTTGTCCACCAGGATGGTCCGGTTGGCCATGGCGGTTATCTGGTACCCATAGTCCCACCAGGACATCACCTTTGCGTCCTGCACCCAAACACCAGACGTGCCGTCAGCACCTCAAGCGGACAACGCTGGGTCCCCGCTGCCCGAATTACCCCCCGCTTACCTCCGGCGTGTTGTGACGCAGCCAGTAATAAGCTTCTCTGAAGTCGTCAAAGATGATCCTGCTGCCGTCCCCACCCCGGGCGGACAGGACGATGGAGGGGGAGGAGTACGCCTCGCTGGTCACCCAGGTGGAGTGGAAGGTGTAGGTGATCAGGAAGAAAGCCATGACCAGGATCATGCCACTGGCAACCTGGGGGGGACAAAATCGGGGTCAACGCTGGAGGGAAGAAGCCATCAGCCTCCCGCACTTGTCCCCACCAGGACAAGGTGTCTTCTCCCCCTTCCCGAGCCGGCCCAACGCTCACTTCGTTTTTGATGGGGTAGGTGGAGTCTTGCTGTTTTTTGCTCTTCTTGTCCGGTCGGCTGATATCCAGGTTCTTCATGTAGGTGGACAACACCTGAGAAACCCCGATGCCGGCCAGGATGCACATCACCGGGGCCAGCACCAGCATAAGACGCACCTACGGGCAACAGCGGAAGAGTCGGTGCCCGTTGGAGAACGAAATCGGGGCAGAAAGCCGAGAGAAGAGGGAAATTAAATGCCATCCCTAACTCGGCACCTCGAGTTCATCGGCCTCGAGACAAGCCCGTCGCTGATTTTTTTTTAGCGGGTGCAGACTGGGAGCTGCCACCGTCTCAGAAACCCCCCCCGAGGGAAGTTCTCTGAAGACCTCAAAATTGGCCAAGGTGCAGAAGTGACCCCAATTTAACGCCCTCGGGCAATCTTAGGTGGAGCCAAGAATTAGCAGGTGCCTCCGCACACAGAAATCAACCCGCATTTAGGGCGCGGGGTGCCAGAGCGAGGGTGGAAAGGGGCTCGTAAGCAGCCGTTTGTCGTCGGTCCCTGCTCGGATACCTGGAGAAACCGTTTGGGTTTGCAACTCGGCTACGGGAGACCAGGAAGAGAGACCCAGAGGCGGCCGGCGGTGGCCACATGGAAGCGAGCAACACCAAACCCAGTAAGTTTTGCAACGCCACGTTCCCTCGCCGCACAGAGGGGCGAACAAACCGGTTTTAAGGAAGGGAGAAGAGCCTCGTGAACGTTTCTAACCGGCTCAAGGTGGAAGAACCCTCATCAACAAGTTCAGAAAAATAAAATTAAATCAGCTTTGTTAAGACCATTTCGTCGTCCTGCTTGCGCCCGGCAGGCCGCAGCCCTCACCATCACAGCGGAGAAGTACATGCTGGTCACGCCGTACATGATGATAAAAATGCGGGCGTCCGAGAGGTTACTGAAGCAGTAATAGAGACCGACTGCGAAGAGGAAGGAGAAACAGGTCAGGTTCACCTTAGCAATCCGTTGCCTGCCATAAAAAACAGCCGGCAGAGGCACGTAGCACTCCACAGCAGTCCCAGCACCGGGAGGAGAGGGGAGGCTGCGGTCGCGGCCGGCAGAATAAAACCCTCCCGGTGTGGTAGGGCGATTTAACAGATCGGGGTCTGACGACACCTGCGCTGGGCTCACCTGGGAACATGAAAACGAGAAGCTGCAGGTCAAAGTAATAGGAGGACCAAGTGGTGGGCTGGTGCTCGGAGACGGAGGCGATGATGGGGATGTTGTTCTTTGCGTAGGAAGGATCCAGCAGGGAGTAGAAACGCCCCGTCCACGGGGAGATTTTCCCTAGGGGAGAAAAGAAAAAAAGAAAAAAAAAAAAAAATCATATTCCGTTCCAGCGGAGAGTAACCAGCAACGCCGACACGTTCTCTCACACGGGAAGCACGTGCAAGGCTGAATGAGCGATCCTGGACCTCGTTTAACGTCTCTATTACTGAAAACTGCCATTTTAGAAAGGGAACAAAGCGCGACTTTACCCTAAAAAGACTCCTCCCCCGCCCGACCTACATTTTTAGCATCTTCCTCGCTACTACAGATCGGCATTCGGTTTCTGAAGCATCAGCTCAGCGTCCCCAGCGTGCGCTGAGTCACGGCAGGTTTCTCTCTGCGCCTCCTCTCACCCGGAGCCCAGATCTTACAGCTGCTTCTCGAGTATTCTCCTGCCATCGCACAGGTGAGGGCAGGTCCCGGCCTCCCCCTTAGCCGGGGCGGGGGGGGCGGCTCGCAAGCACTGAAACCGCAGTGCGGGCGACAGCGCAGAATTAGGATGGACAAATTACGTGCTCTTCAAAGAAACGAAAGGAGGCGAAGCCGGCGGTGAAACGCGCTCGCTGCCGTCGCCGCCGTCTCGGGCTACCTGTCAGCATCAGCACGGCCCCGATGGTGAGGAGGACGAAGCCGACCAGGGAAATGACGCTCCTGAAGAGGATTTCGAATTGCTGCGGGTTCAGCTTGCTCCGAAGGTAGTCTACGAAGGCGTGGATCTGACACAAGCCGAAGACTCCAAGGGCAGCCATGTGCTCCGAGGAGAGGACGGGCTGCAAGGAGGAGAGAGCACGATCGGTTACAGAGGAGAACAAGGGTCGCGCTGCGCCCGATATCGGCTTTTTTTTTTTTTTACAAATCACTTCTCAGCAAAATCGCTGCCAAAGTCACGGGAAAAGCGTCCCCTCCCCGCCGAGGGCACAGCTGGCACGAGTCACTTTCTTACATCACCTTTGATTCCCGGAGAGGAATCCACACGGAAAAGTAAACCGATTCTCTTGAAAACGTGAGCGAAGCAGGCACTTCTCCCGCTACGCCAAGACGCGCGCTGGCGCGAGCGTTTCCTTCACCGAAAACAGAAATATTTTCATGAAAGGCAACGGGTGCCGTGGAGGTTATTAGCAGCTTTGAAAGTCATCCAGCGCCTCCAAAAGCTAATCGTGCCAAAGGCCGCAACGAATCAGGGTAACGGGAGCTAGGACTAGGAGCCAGCACCCGCTTACAACGTCAGCGGCGAAGGCAAGAAGAGAAACCAGGTGCCAACCCGCTGTTGTTCTGCTACGACCCAACGAGATGACCATCCTTGAGCCTGCAAATCATTCTGGTTCCCCACCTGGAAGCCAACAAAGGAGATCTGCATCGAGAGGATGGTTCCCAAGCAGTAGACGGTGCAATAGGCTACGTAGATCCTGTGGGAGAAGCGGCCGGTCAGCATCAGCACAAGAACATGCAAGGGGATGAGGTTAATCAGAAAGACGTAGCCACCCCACGAGGAGACCTGCCGAGAGAGAAAACAAACACAAAAACCCCACAAGTTCCAGGGCTGAACAGGTTGCACAGCAGAGGTCAAAGGCGGCAGGTTTGATTCTCCTGGGATTCGCCCGGCGGCAACGCCAGCCGAGATCTGCTCTCTCCAAGGGCACCCTCAGCAGTCGCAGCTGCCAGGAGCCCAGGTTTTTCCACGCCATTAATAAAACCTTGCACAAAAACCCGCTAGTTTTGGTAAGTGGAAATGAACGAAGAAAGCATCCATTCGATTTCCACGCCAAGCCCTTCACAGAGGTTCCAGCTCCCCGAATACGAGGACGCAGGGACGGCACGCCACGTGTTTGTGGTCCCCGTATCCAGAGCAGTCCTTGGAGCCAGAAATACCTCGGCGCCGGGAGAAGGAGCACTCACCATGTAGAAATAGGCAAGAGCACACATCGCTGCCCAATAGATGGAGCCAGTTTTGACGGCTTTGATCCACATGTAGTAAGTTAACAGCATGCAGAATATGGCGATACCTGGGCGGAAGGACACAGAAAGGTCGAAGCAAGCTCACGTCAGCCCTGAAACGTTAATACGATCTCTGGGGCGCACCAGAGCACTCAATTGCATTAAAAACATCTATGTATATATATTTAAAAATGCTTCTGCTGCTCCATCAGATGATGGACCAGCACCTCGTGCAAAGAGCCAGGCCTGGGAACAGGGTTCCATATCCGATTTCTAGACTGAAACGCTGTGACGTTTGCCTCTCACTGTAGGTAACAGCTCACGTGGCCTCTTCCAGCCACGCCAGCTAGCCTTTCCGGACACGGCGACTCCTTACACGGCCCCCGAAAGCCCAGCTACGGGAGAGGAACCTGGATCCTCGTCCGCCCTAGGCATCGAGGACGAGATCGCCGCCTTTGCCAGCCCCAAAGTCATTGCCGGAACGGAGGTCAAACCACAGGGGGAGCCGCGCAGCAGCTCTGATCCCAAGCAGCGTTTGCGGAAGCGGCAAAACCCCTTTTTGCCTTGCAAACATGGATATTGGGGGAACGGGGTGCGCTCGCTGCCGGAGTCGGGAAACACTCCCCTCTTCTCAACCACGTAGGCGAGAACAACCACCGACCTCCGAGCAGCTGGGTTCGGAAACCGCACGGAGCTGGCAGGGCTCGCCGCGAAGGGACGGTTCTTCTGTCGTGCCCCGTAGCAGCTTTACCATCATTTTCCAGCACCCGAAGTTGTTCAAGGTTTCCCTGCTCCGAGCGTCGCAAACTCACCTTCGTTATCGTAGGAGCCGGCAACGGATCGAGAGATGTACCCGGGCACAACTGCAATCATGGCGGCAGCAAGGAGCCCTGCCCCTGCGTCCTGGGGAAAAAAAAAGAGAACCCCCACAGCCAGAGGGTGGAAAAAGCCATCAGTTTTTAGGGCTTCCGTTATCGTGCCATCCTACGCACGGATGTGCCCCGGAGGAATAAAAAATGGAGCGTTGAAATGAAATTTCAAACCAGATCTTCCAGTTCCCAGAAGTCCCGGGTTTTGACCAGCGTGGTGGTCAGCCCCAAGCCTCCGATACAGCCCCGAGCTGCCTTTCCAAAAGGCACGCAGCCCGCGCTCCTCCGTAAAGCGAAAGCCTGCAAGGTACGCCCCGATCCGCCCCTCACCTTGAGCTCTTTGGTGAGGTGGTAGGTCACTATGGTGGTGAAAGAGGAGAAGAGGGGAGCCAGGAACACACAGACGTTTCGGATGTCGATGGTGACGTGGAAGAAGTGCAGCACGTGGTAAATTGCCGCCGACGTGATCATCAGGCCTGCGGGGCAGAAACGACACCCTTATCAGGGCGCCCTCGGTCCGCTCACCGCACCGGGGGGTCGTTAGCTCGCAATTAGCAGCGGCGCAGCCGAAAGCCTCGCCAGGAAGGAGCTGCCGCCGAGGATGCCTCGGTGCAGGGCATCCCCCGAGCTCCCCTCCTCTTCCCGGCTGGCGCTCACGGCTCTCCTCCGCGTACGCTACCCGCCCCTCTCCCGGTTTTCCCTTGCGTGAGGCGCGTTTCATAGAATCGTTGAGGCTGGAAAAGACCTCTAAGATCATCGAGTCCAACCGTCGACCCAACACCCCCATGCCCACTAAACCATGTCCCTCAGCGCCGCATCTACACGTCTTTTAAATACCTCCAGGGATGGGGACTCCACCACTTCCCTGGGCAGCCTGGTCCAATGTTTCACCACTCTTTCAGTAAAGACATTTTTCCTCACGTCCAATCTAAACCTCCCCTGGCGCAACTGGAGGCCGTTTCCTCTCGTCCTATCGCTTGTTACTTGGGAGAAGTTTCGGCTCAGGAAAAGCCCGACGGCTTACCTGGATAAATGGTCCCACCGATAATCCTGCCCAAGGGGTACCACGCTCGGTCGTCAAACCAGTTGTGGAATTTATAGAAGCCTTCCTCCGCCAGAAAGCGGGTTGTGCGGTAGTTGAAATACCTGCAACAGCGACAAGCACTGAGCATCTCCGCACCTGGATATGGAGGTTATCGACTGCTCACCGCTCCTCGGGTGGCAACCGCAGTCCGTAAGGAGCGTTCAGACAGCGAGGCAGCTTTTGACAGGCTGTTAAGTACCAAAGGGCGTGCCCGTTGGGATGCCCTTCTCCGACGTCTAGGGGTAAGAGAGCGTTGTCAAGGGCCGACCGCGCGTTTTCCACGCGGAGGGAACGAGTCCGTTTTCCCCAGGCTACCGCAAACCTCAGCCGCAAAGGTTCACCCCCGCCTCCTCAGGGGGTTTAAAAGGGGGTTTGCAAAGGCAACGTTCTCCCTGGCGCCCGATTTAACCAGCAACAACCCCGGGACGCGTACACAAGTTGTACCGGGAGCCCCCTCTCCTGCTGTGCCTTGCTCAGGCAGGGACCAGCCGCATCCCAGCATCAAAGCGGCGGCGGGCGATTACCCCCACTTAGGATCCAGGCTGCAGGACGAGTCCTGGGAACCGAGAAGTGAATTTTGGGTCTAGAAGAGGAAAAACTAGCCGTACTGAAAGCTGCCCTCCAAATCCTTCCTCCTCAACGGGGATCAACTTCAGCCCAGCAAACACCGCCCAACTTCCGCGTGCTCCAGAAGAGAAGAACCCAGCAGGTTGCCCCCCCCCCCAAAAACGGGAAGAAGACGCTTACGGGTCAAATTCATGGATGACGCTTTCGAATCTTAGGACGGAAAAAAGCCTCGTGGAGAAAGCTGCGAACACAGAGAAAGGGCAGAGTGAATCTACAGCGCTCGCTGAACCAGCGTTTTATCAGGTTTATCATCTACTTCGACTGATTAAAATTGTTTCAGTCTCAAACTGGTCATTGGGAAGACAGAGAAAGACACGTTTTTCAAAGGAACGGATACGGAAGGACTAAGAGCGTTCACTTAAGACAGACGAGAGCTTCACAACCTACAAAAGAAGAGAGGAGGGAGCAGAGGCGGCTCCATCCCGGGGTCCCCCTTTTGGCGGCACTAGCAGCCATCCGCAAGGCCGGCGCGGCAGGGCGCGGACTTACACAGCACAGCTGCCATCGACAAGATGAGGAGCTTGAGCAGAGTGTCTTGCTTCTCGTAGGAGAGCCGGAGAAACCCCAGCTTGGTCATTTTCACATCAAAGGCAGAGATCGAGGACGCCCGAACACCTGAGAACAAACAGGGAAGATGATCAAAGAGCGAGCCAGCTCGCAGCCCCACGATGTCTCTGAACGCTTCACGAAACGGGACCTTAAATACCCCACTCCCGCCCGAGGAGGCTGCCGTCCACCCTTCACCCCTGCCAGATTTCACTGATCCGTGTCTCCCTTCCCCACATCCCCTTGCCTCCCATCCCCACCTGATCAGCTGCCCCACGTCCCGGCGGAGGCTTTTCTTTTACAGGGACCAGAGCTCCTTCGGGGCAGAGGACGCGTCTGTTTTCCTGCGTGCAAAACAAAACCCCAGCGCAAGCTTTTAAGCAAAACCACCAGATTTTCCCTGGCCGGTCTCTGGAGTTTCACCGCCGCCTGTAAGCGATGCACAACACAAGTCATCCACGGAGATCGCAAGAAGCCGGTGCTGTTTTCTTACACGTGGAAGGTCTGAACGGCTCCCGGCCGCTCCCACTTCGAACTGCTGACGTTAAACATACACGTCCCAGCGGTTTCCTAACGCGGACCAGCACAGTAAGTCAGCTTTGTTTCTATCGGACAACTTGACCGCTCAATTCGACCTGCCCGGGTGGAGGAAGAGCCAGCAAAATCCTAGTATTAAGACACCAGGGAAGTGAAACCGTGGCCAGAGAATAACGTCTTTCTACTCTTGAAAACGCTCCGATTTCTTTAAAATGCTTCTTTACCCGATCGATCCAGGAAAAAAAAAAAACAAACCCCGCGCCCCTCCCTGCCAATTCAGTCCCGGAGCTGGGGGATAAATCCTCAGCTCCCGTCTCTGAGCCACAATGCCGGGGAGGGCAGATTTGGACGGGCCGAGATTTAAAAATAAAATACAAACCGGGCCTGGGTCTTTCTGTGCCCTAGAAGCGATTGCGACTTGTTAGTTCGTCGCTAATTGCTACAGAAATAACCCCGTGTGGTAATTATTTCCTGGTTCCCCCCGGGGATGATGAGCAGCAGCGAATAACGGCAGAAGGCAGATGCCTCCCGGGCATGAGTGGCTCTGCCACCGGGGTACCACCGGTACCCCGATTTCCACAGCTCCGGCAGACGACTCATGGGGGGCGG